AAATGGCCATCCTTAGCATCTGCTGTAGTGGGGCACTTTGATTCTGCAATATTCGAACGTTTTCTTTCCAATTGTTTACAATGAAATCAACGATTCGAAGAGTTATTCAGCAATGTGAATGCCACAAAAACTGACCCAATCACAATAACGCAGTGACATTTGGAAGGCTATAATGTCATGTTTTGTGATGCAAAGGAAATTAACGAAAATTGTCACGAAAATCTGTCATTATCCGAACAGAATTGAATGTGTACTATGATCACTATATGGCGATTGTTCAGTTACTTGAGATCGTTTTGTTCTCACCTCAGCGATAGTCCAGTTACACATAGTGAACGTTTGGAGTTCACACAAACGTTTCGAAGCGTTCAGTCGTCGAAGAAGGTTACAGATACGCTCAATAATATAATCATCGAGTTGATTTGCTGCATTCGGCTTGAATTTCGCTTTCTTCGAACGATTGCTACCATCCAAAACAATCGACTCAACAATGCAATGTTGCAGCAGATCGCTCCATGAGTCCAGCTTCTCGAATGTGACTTGGAATTTTTGCGGAAACAACTGATGAACAGTGAAACAGTTGCTGGTAGTTTGTTTGACTTCAACCCAAATTTCGCAATTCCCATTTGCAGGATTCCTAGAAGAAGTAAGTTTACTCAATGAATTTCTTTCTTCAGGTACTTTTATATGCCTTCACGCAAATGCCGTTCTCATTATGCTAGCGATTTCTGCACTTATTCCTCACTGGGATCGTTTGGTAAGATTGCTGCTAATTGATGAACNGACAAAAACACTAACTTACTTGATGGTTATTTCGATGGGGAATCGATGAGTTGACGTTGGATAGCGATTGATGAGCGCATTCCATTGGCGACAAACCAATTTTGCACTGAGCACATCTTCAGGTGGTAGATACGATAGGATGTTTAGTTGTAAATCATTTGGTAAAGCGGTGATTCGATGGTTTCGGCTCGATTTGCAGAGACGATTTCTGAGTTGCACAGTGCCGTTGGTGAGAAATCTACGAACGGATCGAAGTGCTGATTTGCAGAGTGGACGAAACGATGATGCCAACTGGCAATTGCCAATAGTCATCTGCAAATCAGTGCAAGATCTGAAGTTGTTTAACGCAAAGTGAAAACAACTAGAGGGGACTGAAATTGATTAAGCACGTTCAAAATATCAATAAAATTACAAAATAATATCTGAATCTTATATCAGTGATCAAATGATGAACGGTGATCGCTTCACACAGGATCTCATACGATTGCTCAGCCTAACAGTACCGAAATCAAATGGTACAATAATTGTCTCCCTACACA